TGAAACAGCAGCAGTGAGAAGAAAACATCCTTGTACCATTTTTCATCTTCTTGAGTATGCACATGAAGTTGCTTCATTACACATGATGTTAGCTGTAGAACAATCATTCTTAAATTTTTTTGGTCTCAAAATCCCACTACACATTTAAAAATTATTGGGGACCCCAAAGAAGTTTTATTTATGAAGACTATCAATATTTACCATATTAGAAAGAAAAAAATTTAGTCATTTATCAATTCTTTTAAATGCAATAATAAATCCATTACATATTAACATAATAAATATTTTTATGAAAATAACTATTTTTTCAAAATAAAAAATTAGGGGCCGGCCCGGTGGCGCACTTGGTAGAGTGCAGCGCTTGGGAGCGCGGCGGCGCTCCCACCGAGGGTTCAGATCCCATATAGAGACCGGTCCGCTCACTGGTTGAGCGTGGTGCGGGCGCGACACCAAGGGTTGCGATCCCATTGCCGGTCGCAGTACGGGCGTGACACCAAGGGTTGCGATCCCGTTACTGGCCACGAAAAAAGACAAAAGGAAAAATAAATAAATAAATAAATAAATAAAAAATAGAAAATTAATAGGAAGAGTACTATGGTTTTACATTTTTTAAAAAATTTGTAATGCTGCAATTAATAGAAGATAGCTGGATTCTCATGACTGATTCTGCATTCAATCTGTTGCAATACGTTACTTAGGTTGACATACATGAAGAAAATTCATCCTCACACAAATACATAATTGGAAAAGTGGAGAGTATTTTAAGAAAATTATGGCAATTCTTTGATAGTACATCAAAACTCAACAAGTGGTACTTTCTTAAAGTTCGATTGCAATGTGGAAATCCAAAATCATATCAGGGCTGACTGGTTAGCTCAGTTGGTTAGANCGATTGCAATGTGGAAATCCAAAATCATATCAGGGCTGACTGGTTAGCTCAGTTGGTTAGAGTGTGGTGCTAATAACACCAAGGTCAAGGGTCCAATTCCTGTACTGCCAAGCAGACAAAAAATATATATACATTTTTTAAATTATATATATTTTTCATATCAGTGAACTTTTCCTACCCTGTACACTCATAAGGAAATGAGAATTAAAAAGGAAAGCAGAGGACTGGCCGGTTAGCTCAGTTGGTTAGAGCGTGGTGTTACAACACCAAGGTCAGTGGTTCCAATCCCTATATGAGCCAGCCACCAAAAAAAAGAACAGTTTTAGTATTATTATAAAAAAATTTCTGACCTCACAGATCCCCTGAAAATGACTTGACAGATTTTTTTAGGATTCCCTGGAACACAGTGTGAGAACTGATTCTGTAGCCTTTAAGTCAAAAAT